ACTAAGCCAGGCAAGACCCCGATTCCCTTGGAACTCACACCTCGTCTTCTCACAGTTCCTAAGTACATCTGACGTTTTTGGGCCACCCCCAGCCTGCCTGGCCCTGCCACTGTCTGCTAGCTCTCTGATATCTTCCAAATACAATTCAACACCCTTCTGTGGAAGTCACTTAGCAAAGCATAAGTCCCTCAGTCCCTTGCACTGGGACCATCGATCCTGAGCAGCCAAGGTCCAAGGGATGGAACTCTGATTTCCTTCCCCAAATCCGTGTGTGCCCCTTTTAAGACTCAGCACTCACAAGCTAAGTTAGTGGCTCCTACAGATTGCATGTATGTTTTCATGGAACTCCTAGGAGCCGTGAGTCTACGGAGACGTCAGAGTGTAGAGGGAACCCTGAACTCAGATGACCTTGCTCTACAAATCTGCAGCTGAAACAGACATTGCTAGGATCCCAGGGAAGCTACTGAGCCAACGCCCAGGTCTCATAGCAATGGAGAACCTGTGGGTTTCAAACACTATAGTAGGGGATTAGCATGAGACCCTCTAGAGCAGTTGTTTTCGAACTTCCCAGTGCTGCGACCCTTTCATACAGGTCCTCATGTTGGGGTGACCCCCAAGCATAAAACTATTGCACTGCTACTTTTTAATTGAAAGTTTTCAATCACTATGAATTGTAATGTAAATATTTGCTGATATGCAGGACATCTGATATTTGGGTGGCTACCCATGGCATAGCAACCACTGTTCCAAATGGTTAAGAGGGTAACCATGGAAACAGTATGGGGATACTAGAAAGGCATCTTGATGACAGTATTGTGATACTGTCATATATGTGAATATATATATAGTTAATATGCAGGATATATGTGTGTGTGTGTGTGTGTCTGTGTGTGTGTCTGTGTGTGTGTCTGTGTGTGTCTGTGTATATACTATATATACTTATATAGTAGATAAGCAGAATAATATATACAGTTGGGATGCAGCATATATATACATATATATACCATTGATATGCAAATATATATAGTTAATATGCATCAAGATATAAAGATATTGATATTCATATAGATATAGGTATAGATAAAGATAAAGGTGTAGATAGATATAGATTAGATAGATATAGATATACATATAGATACAGATACATATAGGTCACCCTCTATTATGCATCCATCATCTGGCACTTGTTCTGCTTCTCTAAAGAACCTTGGGTACTCATCTCTGAGATGCTGGAGGAAAAAAGCCTGGTTTGGTGTCATGCACCCATGATGGCTGGACTGTATTTGTCTGTAAGTTTGTTTCAAGGGGAGACAAGTATTTTGATGGTGTCCTTTTTACTCAGGAGGAAGCTCTGGGTAACAAGAATGACCTGGAGAAAAGTCTCCCTCTAACACAGGCATGTCTTCCATCAGTTCTCTGCCTACTGCAATGCGTTTGTCCTCTTCGGATTCAGGAACAAAGAACAGGTTCATTCTGGAACATAGTTGGCCAGTGTCACACTTATCTTGCATGTACACATAGTTGCTAATCCACACCTCACCCTGGTAAGAAAGTTCCTTAGAGGTCAGTGGCCTGCTGTGTCTATATAAGTAACCAAGAATCTGATCGACTAACAAGCATGGAATGTCGAAGTTTCCAAGGCTCGGGTTTCATGGAGAGATGGATATTCATGGTCATTGCATAGAAGAGAATGCAGACTTATGATATCAGAGGGCACAGAGTCCAGAAGGCAGGATAGCCTAGGTATCACACAGATAAGCAGAATGGATGAGATTTTAAGTGGACTAGAAAGTCATGATACTCAAGAACCCCTAGGATCCCTGCACAGGCATGTTCTTATAATTAAAAGGGATCGTCTGTTTCCACTACACCATTATAGAAAACATACACTTCACTTGTTGGGCAAGGTGTTGAGATGGACCAAGGGCCAGGGCACTTTAATTCTTTGGATGAACCAGAGACAGATCAGGTTCCATAGGAGCCCATCAGAGGGTGTGGAGACCAGGGGAAAATCAGAGCTGTCCAATACAGGGATAGAATGGGGTATAACGAGGGAACATCGTGGTGTAACAGAGGGTTACATGAAGACAGTGTGTGGGCAGTGTGTAGACAATGAGAAGAACTTGGAGGACAGCATCTGTGGTATGGGAAAGTGTAGGAAACTGTGAAAACATTGCAAAGACTTCATGAGAAAGACACATGAGTGTTGAAGACAGCACGTGGTAGCAAAGAAAGCACTGTGAGAAACAAACAGTGTAGTGGGGAATTAGCATGAGACACTCTAGAACAATGGTTCTTGATCTTCCCAGTGCTGTGTCCTTTAATACAGTTCCTCATGTCATGGTGACCCCCAACCATTAAATTATTTCATTGCTACTTCATAACTGTAAGTGTGCTATCAATATAAATTGTAATGGAAATATCTGATATGCAGAATATCTGATATTCAGGGTGGCTACCCACCCCATAAAAACTACTGTTCTAAGTGGTTATGAGGGTCTTGTGAGAACTGTATAGGGACACTAGAAAGGCAGGAAGATGACAGTATTGTGACAGCATTGCGATGGTGTGTGGTCTTGTGAGGATAGGGTGGGGACAGCAGAGTGAAGAACATAGGACAGCATGGGACATGATCTAAACATGTGGGAACAGAAGGAGAACAGTGCATCAGGAATCCAACAAACCAGGCAGAGTGTGACAGAGGCGTTGTAGCACACACACTGAGCATGAAGAAGCTGATGAAGATGGTGATGGCCGTCTAAAGCCCGTCCATGTCCCCGTTGTGGGCCTCAGCACAGGTCTTGTCCAGTTCCAGGCCTACACAGACAGGGCAGTCAGTCTTTGTCCCAACAAGGGCTGAGGCAATTCCCTGAGTGCCAGGTGGATCAGCAGGAAGGCCCAGGAGAATGTACCCACTGGGTTGGACCAGTAGACTCTCTGGAGCCAGCTTTCTGCCCTCTCTAGAAATGCACTCCACAATCTCCCAACTGTTCCAGTCCAAATTCTGGACTCATCCAGACACACTGGACCTGATGGTAATCTGGACTCTGTAGGAATCCTTCCTGTCTGCTCCACTCGTCAGATCTGAGGCTGTCTGGGCTGAATCAGGGCCTGTGAACTCTGACCCTCTCCCAGAAAGCCAGTGTACTGGTATAGCCTTGCCTAGTTGTGCCTGGCTTTCAGAGGAACACACTGGGAGTGAGTCAGGCCACTCAGCTATGTGGGAAAGGGATTGTCATCTCTATGAGCTGGAAATATGGTTCTGAAGGTCCAGGGGCAGACTGACATGAGAAAGCATGTTTTGCGGGACTGATAAGGAACCACTGAATCCTGTGGCACTTGTGTGTGTCTCCCTCAGCTGAGCCATGTGTAAGGAAGAGCCTCAGAGAGGGCCTGCTGCCTTGCTGGGTCTGAGTTCAGTACAGGGAGCTCCTATGAGGTCTCAGTGTGGAAGGCTTGTGTCTGTGTTCATACACACTAGTGTACAAGTCTGTGTAAGTGACATGTGGGCTGACTGGTGGATATCAGGCAGGTTCTAAAGACTATGAATTCTGCATTCATGTGTCTTCAAGATATGAGACATAGGCATCCAGCCTAGAAAACTAGTCTCAAGGAGGAGGGTTATGGGCAATGATGGACAGACAGAAACTTCAGTGCTTTGACCTGAAGTTCCCTCCCTAGGCACAATTGCTCATCCTGGTTGATTTAGGGAAAAAAATGGCATAAGCCTGACCTCCACTGGACCATACCTCTACTGAACATCCTCTCATCAATGTTCCTGTACATCTTGGTACTACTGGACAGATGGGTCACATTGCAGGTAGGAGCATGGCTGGTCCAGATGCTGGCAGGCGTTATCACTGAGCTTCTCAAAGAGTGCAGCTTGACCTACGAGACAGATATTGAGTTGCACTTGCCACTGCTCAAAGCTTCGGACTTCGAACATATGGTTTCTGGCTCAGGGAAGTAGGCATGATCAAACAACCCAGTGGCCATGGAAACAAGGGGATACATGGACAGGGCCATGGTTCTGGCTGCAAAAGGGGGATGTGAGCATACTGCCCAGCCTAGAGAAATCCTTTTCTCCACGTAGCCCTCGGTCATCTAGGAATACACGTACCCTACTCTTCATGAACTTAGACTGTCTCTATTCCCTCCAACCACAGTCCCAACTCTAGTCCCACAACCTTGCTTTACACCCCATCCTTGCCCTGCCAGCATCTGATCTGGTCCCAATGGGTTCCTTTCTTCCAATCTATAAGGTTAACTACCCTGAATGTTCCAACTGTTCTCAGTTCCTGTGAGACCCCAGGATGAGAATTGTGGACCATGACCCCAGAAATTAAACTCACGTAATTCCAGCCCCCAGAGACCCTCCCTGTACATACTATCTCTCAGTTTAGCAAAGTGCCACTCATGGAGCCCTGCCCAGCTTCTCTCTGCAGTCATCTGACACACCGTTGGTAAGCACGGCCAGAAGTCAGATGCCTTTCCCTTCTCCACCTGACTTCCACTCTGCACTCTCACATCTGACTTCACTTTCCTCCTTGAGCCACAGACACTTCTGGGCTCTAGAGAGATAGCAACACTGGAGAGGGAATGGCAGAGGTTGCCACCCAGGCTGTGGGTAGGTCAGATCTGAGAGAAAGTCTTCTCCAGATAAGGGGTCAAGAGAATGGACAGAATCACTCAGCACCAGACAACCCAGGACCACTGGGTTGTGACAGATAGGCTTCACATCTTCTTCTATGGGTCTCAAGAGGACCACCTCACCCAGACCTACATGAGGTAACCTTGACCACGTCTGGACTCCCCCTGGTCTCCTTCTACCTCAAACACTGAAACCAACATAAGAAAGAGGAACTTCAGGAAGAGTCCCGTGTCGCCCAGTTTCAATCCTGTTCTTAGTCTGTACTGGGTTGGGAGAACTGTCGTGTTCACACAACTGGGGCAAGGACTGTGAATTCTGGAAGGATGAAACAGAGCTAAGAGCTGAGCTGTTTAGAAGCCCAGTGCCAAAGCAAAAAGAGCAGCACTTCTCCACTTCTGAGTGTGGTCAGCAGAGAAGCTTGAGAAAGTCACAGACTAGGGAGAGTCGTGCACCTTTCCAGACCTAACAGACAGCAGGTCACAGGAGCATGGGAAGGAGCTGACAGATCAGCTCCAGGTATGACTGTCACAGAGAAAAGATGCCTACCTTCAGCATGGTACCAACTAGGCAGACTCCAGAATATCCATGGACAGAAGCACAGACCACTAGAGCTGCGCCCACCGATGGACAACCAGAGTAAGCCTCAAGGACTTTATGGGATACACCCCGAAACCTAAGGGTCTGGCCTGGCCTAGAGGCTTGAGGACCCAAAAAAGCCCACCCAGCAGGCAAAAGAAACTCCAGAGGAGCAAGGGGAGGGCAGAGGCCTACAGAACTGAGAGAGTGGGTAAAGAGGGACTAGGGAAGGTTCATCTGGGAAGGATGATACACCAACTAGAGAGACCTAGTGTAAGAATGGATGCCCTGGCGCTCAGAGACCAGGCCCTGTCTTGGATAGGAGATTCCAGGAATGAAGCTGAAAGAAGGTAAATATCTCAAGAAAAAGTCTACCAGAGGAACAGTGGGGACCAGGGAGTACAGATGCAGGTGGGGACCAGGCAGTACATCTGTACATAAGGACCAGGCAGTACAGCTGCAGGTAACCTGGAACTGGTGGAGACACAGGAAACAAGGTAAAGAGCTATAAAGGGACAAAGGTCTGGTGCAGGCAAGGTTAATAGGGGTCCAAGGCACACCAGGAACTACAAACAGCTTTACAGGAATTCTAGAGCACAAAGGAGTTGGGAAGACAGGCTGAGCATCTGTAAGGATACTGTGGCAGTTGTCACAGTTTCAGTGTCAGAGCTGCCCTAGGGACTTAGGGGATACTTCTGAGCAGTTATGGGGAAGCTAGGGATAGTAGGAATGTGGGGGACCATTCTGAGCAGCTATGGGTGAGTAGATGTATGTGAGAATTTGAGGTATCAGTGCTATCAGCTGTGGGGGAGCTGGGCCAGGTAAGAATGTGAAGGAACAGTCTTAGCAGCTATGTAGGAACTGAGGCAAGAAAGGATGTGAGGCACTGGTCCTAGCAGTTATGGTAGAGCTGCAGGGAGGAACATGGCGGACCAGTCCTAGGATTTATGGGGAAGCAGGGTATGGTAGGAATGTGCAGGACCAGTCCTAACTGCTATGATTGAGCTGGAGCCACTGGGATTATGAGGGACCAGTCCTAGGAGCTATGGGGTAGCTGGTGACGGTAGGATTGTGAGGGAAGATAAGGCATGAGGTGAAACTTCCTATGACAGCATGGAGCAGCCTTAATGGGCCACAGAAGAGTGCTGGGATAACTATCAGAATTTGAGCAGGGGGTTGTGAAAGGAAGGGCACAGGAGAGGTAGAAAGACCAGAAAGGCCCTTGGAGTAAGAATGAATCGAGCATTGGTGTGTGCTTTTGTTCAGTGAAAGCAAAGGCAGACAAAATAGGTGAGAAAAAATCTTTTGCAAATTAGAACTCACTGATCAATATGACTTTTGATACTGACAAGAAAAATGTGCTATTAAAAATAAAAAAAGAATGAAACAGAGTCAAATGGATGGAGAATTAGATGTCTTCCTGAAGAATGCTGCATAAACTCCTATTTCAAGGGCTACTGGCAAGAGAGAGGCAATTTTCTGGGGCCTGGCAACATTAGCACCATCAGAGAGGAGCCAGGGTAGTGTGATGAATGAGGTAGGGAGAGTAGGTGGCTGAGTTCACCAGGTTCTCAACAGGAGGACTGAGCTGCCTAGAAAAAGGAACAGATAGTGGCACCTATGTCAAGACAGAAAGGCTGCCCTAGAGCAGGAGGTGTAGGATTGGGGGTTATTGGTGACCCTGATGAAGCAAGGAGCAAGGTTCAAGGAGAGCTAAAGGCATGCATAGGGACCTAGAACACAGATTTGGGGGCCAGAGCTTGCATAAGGGCAGTAAACAGAATATGGGCTTCTGAAGGGCCTCATCACTGAAAGATCTGGGTTCATGGGCTGGAGAGATGGCTAAGTGGTTAAAAGCACTAGGTGCTCTTCCAGAGGACCCAGGTTCAGTTCTAACAACCACACAGCATCTTATAACTCCCCATAAGAAACTCCAGTTTCTGGGTATTCAACACCCTCTTCTCACTGCACAGGCATCAGGCACGCACATAGTGCACATATTCATGCATCTAAAATAAAATATCAAAAGCAAATTAAGGTTACGGTGCAGGGTCTAGAAGTGGAAGCTGTTGACTCTACTTGTCCCAGAACAACTTGAGAAGATGCAGTCTTTAGAGCAAAGCTTAGACGAGGGCATCGCCAAGTATCTGAGACCACCCATGTCAAAAAAGCTCACACTTCCTTCTCTCTTGCAGCCAAAACAACACCCCCATCTGTCTATCCACTGGCCCCTGTATGTGGTGATACATCTGGATCCTTAGTGACTCTGGGATGCCTGGTCAAAGGCTATTTCCCTGAGCCAGTGGCCGTGACCTGGAACTCTGGTGCCCTGTCCAATGGTGTGCACACCTTCCCAGCTGTCCTGCAGTCTGGACTCTACTCCCTCAGCAGCTCAGTGACTGTATCCTCCAGCACCTGGCCCAGCCAGACTGTCACCTGCAACATCGTCCACCCGGCCAGCAGCACCAAGGTGGACAAGACCATTGGTGAGAGGACATCCAGGGGAGAAGGGGTTCACTAGAGCTGAAGGTCAGCCATTAGCCTGCCTAAACTGACCAGGCTGGGCAGCCATCATGAGGGAGGGGGCCTTAGCCCAGGATAGGAGATACTGTCTCTGCCTCCCTCCTGGATGCATCTACCTCTGGCCACCCACCCCCTATGACATGATCCTCTAGCATTGATGTCAGGAGCCATAATAGGACAAACTAATAATTAGCAATTGATCACCCTGAAATGCTTGCCTTGGATTATTATATAATCTGCGACAAGTGTGCCCCATCAGCAAGGCTGTGGCTGGACATATTTTAGGAAAGATCCTACTATTAATATGCTTTTCCTATTATTATTATTTTTATTATTATTATTATTATTATTATTATTATTAAACATATGTAGCAATCACTAAGCAATAGCACACCCCTTTGGAGCAGATCTCTGCAGACCCACAAAGATGTACCTTCTTGTTGTGATGCTATATAGACAAATAGACAACTTCTTAAGCCTTAATGATGATCCTATAAGAATTCCTAAAATTATATCAATGATTATTTAGCTCTTTTTATAGTGGGACTGGTATTACGTCCCTTCCTGATAGTCAAGGCTGCAGTGAGAACTCTGCCAGTCTCCCAAGTGTCATCAGTTAACAGCACTTAGATAGTAACCAGACTCTCTCCTGCTCAGAGCACATTCCAAGGTGGTTGTAAAATAATTAACCAAAGGTCACTCAAAGGGAACTCACGATTTATTATAGGTGCTAGGACAGAAGATAAAATATTGCTTGGGTTTATCTATACAAAACTTCACTAATTTCTTAGTTATAGTTTTAAACCTTCGGTGAACCTGTGAAGCTAGACAGGTGATGGATGCTTAGCCAGATAATTACTCCTAATGGTTATGCATGTAAACATTCTCTGTTGTAAACTTCTGTTTCAACTTATGGTTTGAATTTTGGTGTGAACTTGTGATGAACTTGGAAACATGTGATCAGGTACTCTGAATGATGTAGAAGAAAAAGGGACGTTAGTTAGCGGTCTCTTCACTTTCTCTCTCTCACTTCCTCTCTCTCTCTGTCTCTCTGTCTCTCTCTGTCTCTCTCTCTCTCTCTCCCTCTCTCTCTCTCTCTCTCTCTCTCTCTCTCTCTCTCTCTCTCTCTCTCTCTCCGTCTCCCTTCCTCACATCTCTTCTCTTTTTCTTCTTTCTTCCCTGCTTAGAATCTCTCCACTTAGAATTTTTCGTTTGTTAGAATTTTTTCCCTTTCCTCACTTAGGACCTTTCCACCTTGTCTCTTAAATAGCTTTCATAGGAAACTTTTTACACTTAGTAATAAAGTACAATAACTGCTTTAAGTGTCTTTTCTTCCTGCCACCTCAAACCAACAGACCTAAGTTAGAGTCTGGCAGCGCCTGCAGAGACAGATCAAAGGCATTGCCTAATCCTCTGCTGTCCCTGGGCTGAGGTGCTAGTGGCCAGAAACTGCAGTTTCTGGCCTCAGAGGATCAAACAGATAGCAGGTCGGCTACAGTAGACTAGTAAGTAAACTTAAGTAAAGTAGAGAAGTAAACCTTTTTATACAGCAACCTTAAATATCTCGTAAGACCAAAGTCTTACCGCGAATCTCTTTTTTTTTTTTAAACTTTACTATTGTTTTGGGTTTTTTCTCTTTTTTTATAATTTATTTTTCCCAAATCATAATTCATTCACACAGGGGTTATAAACACAGAAAAGTAGGATGTAGGGAAGGGAATGGGACTGGAGTGTGGGTGTTCAGGGGGAATACAGATATCTTCAGAACCGGGTATTGGTTGGGTGAAGGTTCAGGGGACAAGTCACTATGACTCTGCCTATGACTCACTTGTCCTTATCTAAGTTGGTATTGTCTGCCAAGGCTACCTATTTACAAGGTCTATGACTACTCAGGCTTGTAAATTTCCACAAAAGCTGCCTGTTGACATTAGCTTATAGCCATCTGTTTCAATGTTTCTCCATTGAGACCCAAGACTTGGTGTTAGTATACATGTATGAGAGGCCTATTGCTGATTTTAGGCCTATGGCTGATTTTAGGCCTTCAGTGTGTAAGCAGGGCTGCCCCTGACATCTCCTCCCTTCTCTAAGTATAGAAGGGCTGTGGCAATTCTAAACTTACAAAGGTGGGGATAGAGGCCTGACCTCCAGTATTTGAAGGGGACCTTGTAATGGCTCCGGTCCCCCTGTCGTTGTCCAGTGAGGCATGAGGGCCATACCCGTCCTGATGTCTTTTTCCTGGAGAGGGGATACTTTTGACATCAACCCCTATGCAGTCAGGCTTGTCCCTCAGGGAACCCAGATAGATATTTTTATCTTTTATTTATATTCCCTTGCAGTGCGTAGCCTTGCAGCCTAAGCTAGAATTTAGATCGCCTGTCAGAGGGGGTTCTGGGTGGCCCCTCTCTGCTTGGTCTAGGGGCGGAAGTTCCCTCTTTTAGGTTGAGTGGAGATGGGTTTTGGAAACACCCTGTATAAAGTAACAACTTCATCTTGAGTCTCGTGGTCCTCCATAGCTAACTTATGATAATATATCTGAGTAGGTTTTGCTACCAAATTATTTATCTGTTGTATCACAGAGTTAGTCCGCTTATTTGAGGGCCAGGGACCAGCAGAAAAAAGCAAAAGGAACGCAAGTAATGGTCCCAAGATAGGAAGAAATAGGGTTAACAACATTGGAGAGGCTGGAAACCAATTCTTGTACCAGCATTCATCTGTCTCTTTCTCTCTCTGATCTTTCTTAGGGCCTTCACTGACCTATTTCATGCTCCCTTTAACCCTCCTTGACTTGTTTATGTAAAGGCAGCCTTCTTCTTTAAGGGCTGTACACAGTCAAGAGCTGTACACAGCCTTTTCTATTGTAATAGAGTAAATCAAGTCCAATAAGGATCTTTGCGATTTTAGGAGGTCTCTTCAGACAGCGAAATGAGGGATTTCTTCAGATTAGTGATGTCAATCTCTAGCTGTTTGATGGTCTTGTCAGTGGCCCTTCAAAGGTCTGAGTAGTATAAGTTCGGAGGCCAGCATCTGGATTAGAACTTCTAACAGCAGACATCACGGGTGATTCATTTTTACCTGGGATGCTGCCTGAGTTAAAGCTCCTGGGAGTCCCTCTTTCTCTTGGTTTTCTGGGGTTGGGTACGGAGCTGCTGCCTGTGACCTGCTCTATGCTTGGGCCCCCGAATCTCTTAAGACCAAGTCTTACCCCCGCCGCCGACGCTCTTCCAATTCCTATTTCCCTCGGCTGCCTCAAGAAGAACCAACCGGAGGAGAAGAAAGAAGATCATCTTCCCGGCCCACCATGCCTGGGCTGGCTCATGGCAGATAGATGTCTGTGTCATTTCCAGGATCATACTGGACTAAGCCCATACAAAGGTGGAAGTCCCCTCTCCATGGCTTGGTGCCTTCTCTCCTGCAAACCCTAGTAACATCTACCTTTCATTCTACAGAACACAGAGGCCCAGGTCCAGTCAAACCCACATGTCCTACATGTCCCAAATGCCCAGGTATGTCACTAGAACCATGCTCCAGCCCCAGGAGGTTGGCAAGTGCTGTGAACACCCCTGAACTGGAGGGTGAGCCATGGACTGACCCATTTCCATCTCTCCTCCTCAGTTATTGAAATCCCTGGTGGACCATCCGTCTATATCTTCCCCCCAAAGCCCAAGGATATACTCATGATCTCCCAGAATGCCAAAGTCACATGTGTGGTGGTGGACATGACCGAGGATGAGGCAGATGTTCAGTTCAGCTGGTTTGTGGACAACGTAGAAGTACACACAGCTCAGATGCAGCCCCGTGAGGAGCAGTACAACAGCACCTTCCGGGTGGTCAGTGCCCTCCCCATTGAGCACCGGGACTGGATGGCCGGCAAGGAGTTCAAATGCAAGGTCACCAACAAAGTCCTCCCAGGCCCTGTTGAGAGAACCATCTCAAAACCCACAGGTGGGAGCTGTAGCCCAACTGCATGAGGGCTGGGATGGGATACGAATAAATGCCTGTGTGGAGAGACGTCCATTTTAACCATGACCTCCGTGTCTGCTTCTAACACCACAGGGCTAGTCAGAGCACCACAGGTATATGTCTTGCCGCCACCAGCAGAGCAGATGGCCAAGAAAGAGGTCAGTATTACCTGCATGATCACAGGCTTCCTCCCTGAGGACATCGATGTGGAGTGGACCAGAAACGGGCATGTGGAGCAGAACTACAAGAACACCCCACCAGTCCTGGACTCTGACGGTTCTTACTTCTTATACAGCAAGCTCAATGTGCCAAAGAGCAAATGGGACCAAGGATATGCTTACATCTGCTCAGTGGTACACATGGGCCTGCACAATCACCACATGATGAAGAACATCTCCCAGTCTCTAGGTAAATGAGCTCAGCACCCAGAAAGCTCTCAGGTCCTAAGGGATACTGTAACCCATCTCCACCCTTCCCTTGTATAAATAAAGCACCCAGCACTGCCCTGGGACCCTGTAAAACTGTCCTGGTTCTGCACAAGATATAGAGCCTACGTAGGTCATGGGCTGTGAGGTCTAGCCAGGGTTTGAGGACAGGGTTGTCTTTAGGAAGAGAAGGAGGTTTCTTCACTGGCAGACTCAGAGCTCGGGAGTCATCTTGGCCTGGAGTGTCGGGGTTTAGCTTTAGACAGTGCCTTTTCATTGCCTTCCCACTCACCAGTGGCTGCTACACAGAGAGATAATCCTATGGAACCTCCAAGGGAAGAAGCACACAAACTCTACCTCCTTCAATCTGTTCCTGTCCCCCTACCTTATTTCTTTACCTACAGGTTTCTCTAAGTCTATTGTAGACACACATATAGCTAGGGTCATGCCAGAGACCCTTGCCATTCCTACACTCCACTCAGGCAGCTTTGCATGGATTAGGATTGCACACACATACGGACTTCACACACTCATTCCTGTGCAATGTGAGACAGAGGCACATGACACTTGCTGCCCCAAAGAGTGGACTAGTAGATAGCCACATACATGCTGAACCCGGAACCATTCAAATTAGCCTACTGAACATCATCCAGTCCGTATAGCACATGTATCCATGTTCACGTGTGCACACACACATTTGACACACTCGGACCCTGCCTGTGTGCCATACACAGTACCTACATCCAGCAATGTATCAGGATACCCACAACCACCATTTTGATGCCCACATTTCTGCCATCACAATCGGACAGAGTTCTCTTCTTCTGAGACCCACTGCATTCAATGTTCAACACAAGTCCGCTGAAACCTGATCCATCTCTGGCATCTCAGGGTAATGTTTCAACCCCACATGAATTATACAACTCATACACAAAATGATCTGAATCACTTCACATTGGAATTTTCTCAAGTTCAGGCAAGACCAGCCACAGGCTCTGCTGGTGACTGGGGAACAGGAAAAGGGTCAGGCCAGCTGTATAGCCACTGTCTACTAGGGTCACAGGCTCTGCTTTCCCTTCACCTTCTCCTGTACAAAGGGAATGAAGGATGAGGCAAACAGAGAGGGCCCAGGCACAATCCAGGCCACTGTGAGGTCCACTGTGTCTGGCAAACCCTAAGGACTTGTCAGAGTCAATTGGAGGACACTGAGACTGATGTCCCAGAGGAAAAGGAAAGGAAAGTAGGCCCCAGGGAGTGTCTGCTGGCCCACCCCAGATGGAGCTTTCTCCTCTGACCCCATGCAGACTCACTTGCCACACAGGGAATCTCTGCTAGCCTCAACCATGTGGAGACAAACACTGACTATCCTCTCTGTCCAGGGCTGGAACTGGAGGAGACCTGTGTTGATGCCCAGGAAGGGGAGCTGGATGGGCTCTGGACAACCATCACCATCTTCATCAGCCTCTTCCTGCTCAGTGTGTGCTACAGCGCCTCTGTCACACTCTTCAAGGTTGGCACTGTCCCCACCATCTGCCGTGATGTCGGCGCTGACACCATCATGTCCTCACACTACTCCCCTGATGTAGTAGGATATCCCCTTGCTATCTCCACTCTGTCCCACACCCCATTCTCACCATTCCCTGAGCTGTCCCACATTGCTCTGTGACTCCCCATGGCATCCCATACTGTATACCCTTCTTCTCTCGTGCACTCCTGTGTGATCCTCATATGGTCTTAAGAAAACTCCTGGCATTCCACACTATCCTTCATGAGGTCCATGATATCTACGACACGACCCCCTGTGTGTCCCCTTCAGCCTCACCATGGCCCAAGGTATTCTTTGAGCTCTCCACATACCGTCTCCACCTCAACTCACACAATGTCACCAACCTGACCTCTTGCCAGCCCCAGTCTCTTACCTTTATGAAAGGAACTACAGAAGAGACAGGCCTCTGTCTTGCCCACAGGATTGAAGGGCCTGAATAAGGGTGTGGTTTCTGACTTACTCTCACCTCCCCACAGGTAAAGTGGATCTCCTCCTCAGTGGTGGAGCTCAAGCAGAAAATCTCCCCTGACTACAGAAACATGATTGGGCAGGGGGCCTAGGCCTCTTCCTTTGAGATCAGCACAGCTTCCTAGGCCCTGCTGTACTGCATCCATCCTACTGTGTAGCCTAGCATGGAGGCCACACTGCCATCTGACATCACCACCGTCCAGCCCTATGACACTCTGATCCAGAACTCTACAATGTCTACTTTTTGGAGGACCATGTGGACAGCTTTACCACAGACCCAAACAAAACTTCCTCAGCAGTTTCCACATAACTAAGAGATCACGGCCAGAAGACCCATCTCCATTCAAACACGCAACAGGGGATCTAAGACCTCAGAATGTTTGCCTAAGAAGAGCTGGGAATCCATGTTGCCTGAGTCCAGTTGTGTGGGAATCAGACCTGGAGTGTCCTTACCCACACATTTTCCTCAGAAATGGATATTCTCAGAGAGGGCAATGTTTTCAGATCCTTGAGAGAAGACATCTGCTAGGAAGACCAGGATCACCTCAGCCCAGTGGGTCATTCTGGTAGCCTTCGCACCAGCTGTACGTGGCCAGCTTCCTTCCTGGTACTTCTGTCATTCCTGGGCTGAGGAAAGGCTCTGTGTTCCTCAAACTGTGTTGACAAGCCTCCTTAAGCTAAGGCTCCATGTGCAGTCTTCTCTCCCTGCTACCCACTCTACATGCTTGATTTCAGATGCATGATTCAATCCACCAACACTGTTGACCACACAACCTCAAGACAAAGCCACTGCCACCTCCACAGACACTCTATCCACACTCTGTGGAGGGAGAAGGATTGCTTTGTGTAGCCTCATCAAAGCTCTAGCAGGGAAAAGTGCATAGATCACAGTATTGTGTGTGTGACTAGGAAGGAAAACCTCTAGGAGAGGGCTCTAGTGAGAAGATTCCTGTTGGGCTCAAAAAATGGGTCAGGGCAGGAACAATGGGGGAGAGGTGTGAACAGATCTTTAGTAGAAAGCCACAGTGCTGCAGCTCTGCCCTGCAGGCCTGGGGTCCAGACTGGACCACCTACAGCAGAAAACATCATTTGCAATGGACATCTAGGAGAACTGACCTGGAATACCAGGGCTTCTGTTCCCAATGGAGAATAGCCCTGTATCTATTTCTCCATTACCTCTCATGGCCAGTAAGAAGCCAGAGTCTCCAGACAGAAAGAAAGAGTGTGCACCTGGTTTTCTATGACTGATAGGAAATGCTTAGACAAATTGGACTTTTAACAGCTTGTTCTAGAGACCATGAATATCTTTAAAGCTCTCGCTCTCTCTCTCTCTCTCTCTCTCTCTCTCTCTCTCTCTCTCTGTGTGTGTGTGTGTGTGTGTGTGTGTGTGTGTGTGTGTGTGTGTACACTCAAACACACTGTTGTTTTGGAGTTTTAAACAATAAAATTTTCTTTTAATATTTTGTATCTCAGGATGCCCATTCTGTGTGGATTAGCCCTAACACCCAGGAACAGGGCACAATGAAACAGACCAGTGAGCCATGCACACCCCTCTAACTCCCTCCTGGTCCTGGCCTCCCAGGCCTCCCTCAGTGGGCCCCTCATAGCTGGCTTCCAGCCCTGACAAATCCACCAAGAACTTAGGCTCCTCCTGCACTCAGGAAGATATTTTCCCAGCTAGAGGCTGCCCTGCTGCCATGTGCAGGCTGTGGAGCAGGACTGATATCCAGGATGGATCCCAGGCTGGCCAGGCAAAGCTTCCCAGGCCACCTGAGTAGCTTGTGTCTCTCACTAACCTTGGGCTGCTAAGGATTCAGCAAAGGACGTGGATCCAGCTACCTTCATAGCTGATGATTACTGTTTCAAGCCGTATTCAGAGAACTTCCAGATCAAGCATGGACAGCGTGGGTTCTCAGCAGGGCTTGTCTGGCTGGGTAAGCGCCTTCTCCTCCATGGGACTTCACAGGCTTTCCATCTGCATGTGCCTGTGTCCTGATCTCTTCTCATAAGCCCACAGTCAGGCTGGAAGAGATACACCCAAGCCCTAATCATAACTTACCAGTTTATGATCCTGTCTGCAAACATAGACACAATGTGAGGTCCTAGTGGCTTCAATGTCAATTGATGGGCCTTCTGGGGACAGAATTTAGTCCACACTGGCTCTCCCTGGGGCCTCAATAGTTCATATCCTTCCTACATACAATGCCCTTCCCCCCATGCCAACATCCCAAAGTTTCACCCTTCCAACATTCAGCTCTATCCCAAGTCTCCTCCAAAGGTCTGCTGGCTAAGGAAGGATCAGATGGTGTGGGGTTTGTTCTGAGATAGGATTCAGTCCACCTAGGCCATGGCTGCCAGGAGGGAGAGGCAGGAGACAGGCACAGAGGAGAGATGTATACCATGATCAACTGGGCAGACTATAATATCCTGTAGAGAAGAGAGTTGACAGCAAGTGGGGTCCACTCTCACTTATGCCAGGGTGTCAGTTTCTAAGGAAGAGTGAGAGATTTGGAGAGAGAAGTGAAGGCTCCACAGAACTGGAAAAGGAAAAGATTACTGGAGGAGGCCTGTTGTTTGCAATATCTGCTATCTGTCATGGTTGACCTCAGGATTCTTCTACTGTGTAGATCAAGTGATACAAGCTCCACAGCTTTATATGGCACTGTGGAGAAGCTTAGGCACAGACAGATGCTCCTGGGACATAGAAAATATAGACACCTGCAGGGGAAGAAATAGGATGATTCACAACCAACAGCCTCCTCATCAGATGCCCCAAGAGCAGGAGTCAGATGCTGGCTGGGCAGTCAGCATTTCCCAGCGTTTCCCAGGTGGCTTTTAGTAGCTGAGACATCTTAGGATTGTGGCCTTGGCTGTTAGACACTATCTGTTTGTGTCTGTGTAGGTGACAGTGGAGACCGAATGAAGGAGATTCAAGACTGGTGACAAAAGCATCAGGTCAACAAAGCTGCAGCAGAGACAGAAAGCAGCCTGGCCAGCACCATAGTGGCTTCCGTGAGACTGTCTTGTTTTACCCAGGACAGAAGACAGCATGGTCATGGGAATGACATTACTGCTATGGGAGTCACACAGACAGACAGTAGAGCCTGGGGTCAACACTCATTCTTTAATTGCATTCAGCTAACCAACACTAACTGGCCAGCGAGACCAGGGAGATCCTGCCCACACTAGGTCTGGCTCGGCTTCTCTGGTTGTCTTAGTTGGAGCAAGTGTTGGCCTCAGGCTTCTTCAGCTTCAGTTTTAACTTTTAAATGTTTGTATTTATTTCAGGTGTAAGTGAGTGTGCCTGAGTATCTGTGTCTGTGTGTCTGTGTGTCTGTGAGTCCATGTGTCTGTGTGCTGAGTGCATGCAGGAGCACATAGAGGGGAGAAGAGGCATCAGATCCCCTGGAACTGGAATTACAGATGGTTGTGAGCCACCATATAGGTGGTGGGAATTCAACCAATGTCCTCTACAAGACCAGTAAATGAAGGCACTAGAGCCACTTTGCTGCTGGGGACACTGTGGACACTGACAGGCAGAATGGGATTGATCAGCCTGTGGACAAGAGGGGGCAGGGCAGGGATGACTGATGCCTATAAGACTGAAGAGTCACAGTGGAGTCCACACCAGGAAAGGGAAAGAGTGTCCAGTGTAGCCCTAGGGCTTCAGAAGTTGCCCTCTAGAAACAGTGATCAAGGGAGTGTTCACAGAAGTTTGTTTATCACCTTGCTTGTTCTTTGACTATGTGTGTTTATTGTCTTGCTTGTTCCTTGACTATTTGTATCTATTGTATTGCTGGTCCCTCAACCTAGAACTGTATTGCATGTAATTAAATGGTGTAAAAGCAAAAAGGAGGAGAGGGGAAGGGATAGGGGTTTCCTAGGGAGGGGAAATGGGTAAAGGGGATGACATCTGAAATGTAAATAAATAAAATATCGAATTACAAAAAGGAACTTGCGGGCAGTGGCGGCCCACGCCTTTAATCCCAGCACTTCGGAGGCAGAGGCAGGCGGATTTCTGAGTTCGAGGCCAGCCTGGTCTACAGAGTGAGTTCCAGGAAAGCCAGGTCTATAAAGAGAAACCTTGTCTCCAAAAACAAAACAAAAAAAAAAAAGTTGCGCTCGTAGAACCAGGGGGAGGGAGAAGCAAAAGGAGGAGGAGGTTTGTGGAGGGGAAACTGGGAAAGGTAATCATATTGAAATTTAAATAAATGAAATGTCCAATTTTTTAAAAAGGGAAAAAAAGAAGTTGTAACTGCCTCCTCTCCTTCCAGACGACCACACACTGCCACCTAACATAGAACTCTGAGGACCCAGAACCAGCAGCCCAGCCCACCCTGGGTGTCACAGAAGAATCAGGCCCAGGCAGACTGGACACAAAGGCTCATGGCCCTTATGCTCTGAAGGAAGTGGAGTCTTTCCCACAATTTGGGGCACACCACAGACAGTAGCACCTGACCCAGCTAGAGCAGACACTCCTCATTTTTCTGTTTTCCCTCAGAACAATAGCTCCTTCCAGGGAACTCTGAATTTACCCCTTGGCTCCCACCCAAGTCTGTTAGGCTGAAGGCCAAGCCTGTCACCTCAGTCAGACAGCATATCTGAAAGAGACTAAGCCAGGCAAGACCCCGATTCCCTTGGAACTCACACCTCGTCTTCTCACAGTTCCTAACTCCATCTGAGCTTTCTGGGCCACCCCCAGCCTGCCTGGCCCTGCCACTGTCTGCTAGCTCTCTGATATCTTCCAAATATAATTCAACACCCTTCTGTGGAAGTCACTTAGCAAAGCCTAAGTCTCTCAGTCCCTTGCACTGGGACCATCGACCTTGAGCAATCAAGGTCCAAGGGATGGAACTCTGATTTCCTTCCCCAAATCTGTGTGTGCCTCTCTAAAGACTCGGCACTCACAAGCTAAGTTAGTGGCTCCTACAGATTGCATGTATGTTTTCATGGAACTCCTAGAAGCCGTGGGTCTATGGAGACATCAGAGTGTAGAGGGAAACCCTGAACTCAGATGACCTTGCTCTACAAATCTGCAGCTGAAACAGACATTGCTAGGATCCCAGGGAAGCTGCTGAGCCAACGCCCAGGTCTCATGCCATCAGAGAAGCTGTGGGTCACAAACAGTGTAGTAGGAGATTAGCATGAGACCCTCTAGAGCAGTTGTTTTCAAACTTCCCAGTGATGCAACACTTTCATACAGGTCTTTATGTTGGGGTGACCCTCAAAAATTAAATTATTTCACTGCTACTTTGTAAGTTTAAGTTTTCAATCACTATGAATTGTAATGTAAATATTGGTTGGTATTCAGGACATGTGATATTCTGGGTGGCTACTCATGGCATAAGGACCACTGTTCTAAGCGGTTAAGAAGGTCACCATGGAAACAGTATGGGGACACAAGAAAGGCAGTTTGATGACAATATTGTGATACTGTCATATATGTGAATATATATATATTATTAATTATGTATTATATATATTTACATTATTAATATGCAGGATATATATATGTGTTTGTATGTGTATATACTACATATATTTATATAGTAAATAAGCAGAATAATTCATACAGTTCCCATGCAATATATATATATATATATATATACATATATATATAATTGATATGCAGAATATATATAGCTGATATGCAGCAGGCTATAGATAGAGATAGAGATAGATAGAGATACAGATAGATATATAGATATGTAGATATGTAGATATATAGATATTCATATTGATATAAGTCATCCTCTATTATTATCTGGCACCTGTTCTGCTTCTCTAAATAACCTTGAGTACTCGTCTCTGAGATGCTTGGGAAAAAAGCCTCGTTTGGTGTCAAGCACCCATGATAGTTGGACTGTACTTGTTTGAAAGTTTTCTTCAAGGAAGGACAAGTATTTTGATGGTGTCTTTTTTACTCAAGTGGAAGCTCTGGGTAACAAGAACAACCTGGAGAAAAGTCTCGCTCTAGCACAGGCTTGTCTTCCATCAGTTCTCTGCCTACTGCAATGTGTTTGTCCTCCTGGGATTCAGGAACAAAGAACAGGTTCCTTCTGGAACATGGTTGGCCCATGTCACACCTCTCTTGGATGTCCACATAGTTTCTAATCCACATCTCACCCTGGTCAGAAAGTTCCTTAGAGGCCAGGGGCCTGCTGTGTCTTTATAAGCAACCAAGAGTCTGATGGACTCACAGGCATGGAATGTGGCAGTTTCCAAGGCTCAGGTTTCATGGAGAGATGGATATCCATGCTCATTGCATAGAAGAGTGTAGGACCCCGAAGGGCTGCTATGCCCTGACTGAGCATTTCCGTATGCTGCTGT